ATCAGTACACACACACGCGGAGTTTTATATATGTTATGATCTTGGGATTTTGACTTATGTTTGGATGTATGAAAATATGAGTTTTATAATATTATGAAATAAGGTGTTTTCAAAATGTGAAAATTTGCTTGAAAATTTGGGGTGTTACAGGTATCTATCTTATAATTTATTGAGAAAATTGCAAAACTGGTCCCTGTGGTATGCAAATTTTTGGGGTTTTAGTCCAAACCCCGAGTTTTTTGGATTCACGGTACTTTTGGAGTGGTTTGTATGTGGAATTGGTCCCCGGATTTAACTACCGTTAAGTTGTTGCTGTTAACCCCCTCATGTGCCTCCCACATGAGGGTATATTTGTCTTTTCACTTGTAAGGGACCATTTTTGCAATTGAAAAAAAAATATATCCCCATTTTTTAAATTAATACCTATTTATTTATTTTAATAATTAAAAAATAATATCTCTCTCTCTCTCTCTCTCTCTCTCTCTCAAGAACAGTATCCCTCAAACCTCTGTTCAAAAAACGATGTCTCTGATTTTGAATTATGAATTCCATTGCCAAGATAATTATTCACGGCATCCCTCAAATCTTCGAATTTATTGCAGTTTGTAAAAAACCTACTCATCAATTTCTTCAATTCATCATCTCCAAGATCATCAGTGAAAGGTCTAATGGGGATCGCGTTTTCCGGTTGAAAATTGTAGGAATTAGGGTTATCGTCAACAATCACAACCTTCTTCAAATCCCGCCCTAGATCTGATAAATCTTTAATAAACCTACCCTCGAATTTCATACATGAATTCTAATACAATCTGTGTGAAATCAAACCCCTGCAATCCAATTTATTCAAAACCAACGAAGTATATTCCTCGATTCCAGCTGTGAAAACCACAATTTCGAACAAACCTACCCTCGAATTTCATACATGAATTCTAATACAATCTGTGTGAAATCAAACCCCTGCAATCGAATTTATTCAAAACCAACGAAGTATATTCCTCGATTCCAGCTGTGAAAACCACAATTTCGTAGTTATTTGTGCTCAGGAACTGAAAATTTTCGTCAACAAATGAGCGTTTCAGCACATAGAAATCAACTCTTTCTCCATCCAGCAATGACCTCACTAAGAAATCATAAGTTCCCGGAGGTGATACTCCGGTGGCAGGTATGGAATGGATTAGGGTTTCGTCAAGGTCAAGGAACACCGTTTTTTGATCAGGGGAGTTTGGTGGTGGGAGGGCGACGATAGATTCCTCTAAGAGAGAGCGGCGGACGGTGGCGATCTGATTGTCGGTGGAGTTGGGAAACTTTTTTAGGACTTTGTAGCCTTTTTTGATAGAGATTTACTCTTGGGAGTGGCAATACGAACGAGTTTGGAGAAGAGTTTGATGAGGCGGCGGTGGGAGGTGTAGAAGGATTTATTGATGGAGGCAACTACTGTGGAGGTTGTCTTGGTGGCGGTGGTGACGGGAGTCTTGTTGCGGCGGCGGAGGTTACAGTTGGCTGGAGATCCTTTTGACTTCTTAGCTTTGAGGGATACTGTTCTTGAGAGAGAGATAGAGAGAGAGAGAGAGAGAGAGAGAGAGAGGGAGAGAGAGAGAGAGAGAGAGAGAAAGAAAGAAAGAGAGAAAGAGAGAAAGAGAGAGGGAGAGAGAGAGAGAGATATTTTATTTTTTAATTATTAAAATAAATAAATAGATATTAATTTTTTTTTAAAATGGGGATATATTTTTTTCAATTGCAAAAATGGTCCCTTACAAGTGAAAAGACAAATATACCCTCATGTTGGAGGCACATGAGGGGGTTAACAACAACAACTTAACGGAAGTTAAATCTAGGGACCAATTCCACATACAAATCACTCCAAAAGGACCATGAATCCAAAAAACTCGGGGTTTGGACTAAAACCCAAAAAATTTGCATACCACAGGGACCATTTTTGCAATTTTGTCTAATTTATTAAAGGTTTAAAAAAGCAAGTTTTTATCGGAATCAGTAATAAGGTAAAAAACTTCTTTTTTTTACGTAGTCAAACACCCTTATGGTACGATTTCAACTTAGATCATAGAGAAATACCGTATCAATGGGACTCTAAAGTCAAGAGATAAAAACTAACGCATACTGGAATAAAAGTTAAAGATTGAAGCCTAAAATGTGTTATCAAAATTTTAATGTCTTTTGATTTAATTAGCGAACATGAAGGGATACCACCTCCGCACTAGATGGATGGACTATTACTCTTGTTTTGGTTAACAATCAACGAGATACATATACTAATTTCCGGCCAAACAAATATAAATTTCACTTCATTATGAAATCGAATGGAACAACGAGTTATTTAAATTATAGAAAGTCGTATCAAAATGCAAAAACCCTAACAACAAATAAAACCAAAATTGATATTCATACAAACACTTAATAATCTATATATGTAAGTGCAACGAGAGTAAGAGCGGTCAGCTAACTAACCAGTCGAGACAGAGGAGTTGTTGCTGATATTATTGCTGGTGTAGGCTAAGCTGCGGAGACGATGATCCCATCAATAAAACCTGACAAACACAAACATTTAAAAAAAAAATTTGTGGACACATAAAGCATATCTTATTTTGTTATGAATATTATAAGCTATAATTTGTTTTTAAAAAAGTTTTTACCCAAACACATTTTTAACTTATACCGGTGTGGAAGCGGTAATAAGTTAAAAAAACTCATTTTTTAAGCTTAGCCAAACACCCTCATAGTACGATTTCAGCTCAGATCATAGAGAAATATCATATCAATCGGACTCTAGAGTCTAGAGATAAAAACTAACGTATAGTGGAATAAAAGTTAAATATTGAAGCTTGAAATGTGTGCTATCAAAAGTCAACAGTCAAAAGTCAACTCAGTTGGCCGTTACGTCGTGGCCAAGCGTTTGCCATGCCGTGGCAGCCCCACGACAGAACCATTGCGAGAAAACCACTCACCACTATGTGGTGAGCATGTCACCACGTCGTGGGAATTGTTCATGGACAACTTAATGGATTAAGCCCTTAATCCATTAAGCCACACACTCATCTCTTCCAAAAGGATTTCTTACATACATAGTCCTCATATAAATCCTTGCTTTAAGGACATGTATGTCCAATGCATGTCTTAAACAATTGTTAGGTAAAAAATGGTGAAAATGAGGTCAAAACCTCATGCATGGGACCAAAACTCTATAACACTTCAGCTTTTGAACATGAAACCACAAAGGGACCTCAAGGATCCCTAAAGTTGCCAACTTTATGGAGTCCATCCACTAAAACCACCTTAAACAGGGAGAAAAGTGCATATAAGTCTAGATCTAGAAAGATGGCACACAAAGGTATGAAATTGTGGACTTACAATGGTCCATAATCTGTGCAAAAAAGTTGGGTTTTGAGCATTCTAACACTCCTAAGGTGTACATGCAACCCTAGAAACCTTGGATCTATGTTTTA